CGGACCGCGGTCATTTTCCGCGGCAAAGGCAAAGTCTCGGCGGTGGAGAAGGCGGCGTACGACCCCGGCGTGGACGTGTTCTTCCAGGAGAACGCGTGGATGGACGGCCCAGCGTGCATGGCGTGGGCAAACAACAGCTTCCTACGCAGCATCAAGGGGGAGGAAGGTGTCGTTCCAATGGAGCAGTCCATCCTTTTCGCGGACAATTTGCACGCGCAGACAACGGACGAGTTCAAGAAATTCCTTTACGGCGAGTGCAACACGCTGCTGCGGCTACTTCCCCCCAAGTTGACCGACGAACTCCAACCGGTCGATGCCGGCTATGGACGCCTCCTCAAAGTCGAAGACGGTAACGAGCTGGATGAATTTCTTGGGCACGAGGAAAACCTTTGCCTGTGGGAGACCAACAAGCTTTCAGCTGGTGCAAGGCGAATCCTTTTCACGCGATTCATTGCAAGGGCGGTCGCGTGAATGGACGATCGGCCTGGGTACCGCCATCGCCTGTTCGAGAAGACCAGACTGGCGATGACGGCAGACGGGTCGTTGGACGACCGCATCAATCCGGAGGGTGTAGTTGGGGGGTACAATTTCATGGATGGGGGCACGAGCAGTGACAAGGAGATGCCCGACCAGGATGATGAGGTCGGCGACGACGACGGGGGGGGGCGGGTGGTGGCGAATCAACCTGCGACAGCGACGCAAGCGCAGATGATGATGGTAGGTTTTCGAGTCTAGGTCCGATTTGAATTTCGCCTTTGCCCCTCGTTTTGCATGCACTGTTGGGGGGCTGTGAATTTATTCAAACGCGCGTGTCTCACGCCGGCTTTTTCTCGATTTTTTTTTTCACATCGCTTCATTTGCTAGGTGATGACCACGGCGAAGTTCAAGACCTCCTGTCACAGCTAGACAGCGACGATGACGTCGACTCCGACGATGACATCATCGCGATGGAGCTTCCGGTCGAATTCCATCTTGAAGAGTCTCCTCCAGAAAAGCTGGATCGCCCTTTGATTTGCCTTGCGTGTTCTTGAGGCATGGTATGGGGTGGTTCTTGGGGCAGATCAGCCGGGCAGCGCCCCCGCAAACTAGCCACACGTACGACTACCGCGTGGTTTTGGCGTACGATCAAAGCACCATCGGTGTGAAGATGCCTCTAGATGCATATGATGTAGACGAGGCGAACGCAGCCGTAGGAGCGTGGGCGTTGATCAAGCCGATCGACGATTCGAATGAGCCGGCGGGGGGGTGTGAGGGTGAATAGCCACGCCGGCAGGGCAGTAGGGCACGAACCCCCAACGTTCGCAACATTGACCAACCGGGATAGAGCATGCCAAGTTGTGACAACTTCACCAATCGATTTCGAAGGGCGTTAGGGATATACGGAGTATTTTGTCCGCACGCACATTAGCACATTGACTTTGCGCTTCTTCTTTTCTTTCAGTTCAGTACCGCGGGGTGTCGTGCAAGCATGTATCCAGCGGGTAGTGCAAAGCTTCGTGGCTGGAAAAGGAAATAGGGATGATAAGAAATCGTGCAATTTGCATGGTGGCGAAAAGATAGGAAATTGCGAAAATAAGAAATCGTGCAATTCTCGTCGGGAAAAAATAGAAAATGCCGACATAAGAAATTCAGCTCACTATGGCTGTGGCAATAAGATTTGAGCCTAAGCTGAAATAGGTGTTTCTTACGAGTGGGCCGGCACTGCATCGCAAGTTTTGTCAAGGGTAACGATAACATGGTAGGAAACCTGCCATTGCACTGACTGTGCTGCTCGTGCCGCTCCAAGGATAGGGATAAAGGTCGTGTGTGTTTGGATGCCATCGACAGCAAGTTCAATATTGTTGCCCCAAACTTCTCCAAAGCGGGAGGCATACAGTAGAATATCAGATATCGGCTGGCGCTTCCCCCGCGACCGGGCAATATTCTGGGAATAGCGTATAGCTTTCAGAATTGCCATTGCTACATGTTGGTTTCAATCGAGCAGGGCAAAAAGAGACACAAACCGATCAACCACTCGGTGAGCACCTGGCATTGTTGCGACTGCTACGAAGTAGTATTTTTGGTGAAGGTGAATGAAGAAGGTTAAGGTTCCTTGGTTTTGTGATTTCTGATACACATACGTGTAGGTTCGGTCAGCTAACAACACACGTTCAAGCTTAGCTTGGCATCGCGAGCACGTATGTGGTCTCACAACAGAGAGTGGAGTGATTCGATACATATACAGATAGCGCCCGTACTTAGGAACTTAGCAGCAAAGAAATTGGGGCTCGAAAAAAGGCAGAAGCTAAGAAGTTGAACACCATTTGTGAGCCCGGTTAAGCATCCCTACGCTAAAACCTATATAGTGGCGATTTGTAGCCCACAAGAGGATGATCAGCAACATACGAACCCCAGCCTCGGCCGAAACTAGAGGGTCTTAAGCGCGGGCGCCATCTGTACTGACCTTTTGCGGGAGCCGACGATTGCACTGAGTACAGATTCTGCATGCATCACTTGAGCCGTTTCAAGTAATGCAAAGAGGTCGATTCAACCCGCCGCTTTCTTTTGCACAACCCCGTTGTTGGCGAATTTTGGGAGGTCTCGCTGGTACATGGGTCCGCGCCAGCTGAAAGGAACAGCACGGATATTGCGTGGGGACTTGATGGGATAGAACTTTACGCCAACGGTAGGATGGGACGGGATGGAATGGTCATGCCATGCGTGAAAATCGTTCCCGTCCGACTGCCTGTCCCATCCCGCCGCTAGTTTGTGATACCGGCTCCTGCCATCCTGGCCACATTTCAATCGATTCCATCCCACGGATGTCCTGCTCAAATTATCTGTGAAACCAAGATTGAACCAGGAGATGAACCTCTCTCTCGCCCGTGATGTTGACTTCCAGTTTCATTTCTACCCCACATAGCGTGTAGAGGGGAGCGGAGGGCTCCAGACTAGCTGTCGTTGATTTCAATTGGCTTGTGGAACCTTCGGGTCCTGTGAATTGAGTACAAATATTCCGTTTTGAGGATAATTCAGCCTGTGATCACGGGGATCGACCGGTCGACTGTTCGATCAGGACGGACAGATGAAGGTAGTGGGTAGAGAGCTGGGCACGGTTTCTAATGCGAAAGCAACAACAATCTGAGGCATTTCCCAGCGCAATCTCTGACCACCACCCCCAGCCAACGTCGTGTTGACCGTTTGTCGTTCCGCCGACCCTCCCCCCTCCCCTTCACACACTTTGGCACCATTTTTTTTTTCGTAATCAGCGCCCCTTGCCCCTTTTCGCAACCCAGTACCACCTTAAAATACACCAGCACAAGGCAGAGCGGGGAGGGGGGGCTCTCCCTCTGTTCTGTCTCTCGCTCTACGTAACGTCCTTTCTTTGTCGAGAAATTGTCTCTTTTTTTTTTCTAAATGGAACGCTGGCCTTAAAGGTTATTGCTATGGAAGCTGGTGTGTATGGACACGCCAAATACGCTAAGGGTACCGAACAGTCGGGATTTAGGCCGAAAAGCTTCAGCGAGAGGGCAACAGGTAAATTTCTTTGAGCATGCGCTCTCGGGGTCGAGACCTCTCTACCAAGCGCCTGGTTTTCAGGAAAAAAACACCCCCGCGAGAACCCTGTGAACACCGTCCACTGTAAACGTATCACGTGCATACTTGTCCACTTGTCGTTCGTATCACGTACCGTCGTGATATTCTAACGTATTGCGACCGTTTGTACGTTAATCGGAGCTCCAACCAAGCCAAGACCCAGTCTCGAGACGTCAGCTCGAGAGACAGAGAGTGTGAGAAGACAAAGGAATGCAGCTCAGGCCTCCGTAAGTCGTCACGCTCGCGAACTGAGAGCGAACACAAAAGGTGAGAGTTTTAGGGTTTTGAACGCTATTGCATTGTTTGTACAATACTGTACCATGTACATATACAAGTAGTTGGTAAGATCTTGAGGACCTGTTTTAACGTTTGAAGTTGCACCTGAGTTGTACACTCCACTAGGAGGACCCAAATAGGGTTTTAGGCGACAAAGAGCTTGCGAAACTTAACGATATAGAAGTATTGCACAATCGATATGCCGAATCGAAGTTCAGTTACACCCAAATGCTGCGCAATCGCTGCCGTAAGGTGACGTGGGACCCGTCAAAACATAAACATACCCGCAAACAAACGAAGCTAAGCATCGGCATGTGGTGCCTGTGGTCCAAGCCTCATCCTCAGCCTTGCTCTACAACAAACTTACATTTTCTAAAAACTTTGGTTTGGTCTGTCTCCGTGCACATGACCGGCGGTTGACTGTCGATGTCGCACGTTGTGGGAAGCATCTGCACCACAGCAACTCACCTAGCTCGAAAAATTGTAGCACGCTCACAGAACCATTACAAAGCCGCTACATCGTCCCCAGCAGCGGGCGGTGGGCGATGCTTGTTGGTACCGCACGGTTGGTGTGCCAATCGCATGCGGACCAGTCAGGGGTAACACCAACACGAAGTCAACACGAGGTCAACTCATGGGGGTTGCAAAAGGGGTGCAGTCCATACTCGAGTACTTCGATTATGCACGAATCAGTTGCTTTTGCCATAGTTTTTCCTCCTCCGAATGCCTTAGTCCCGCCATTCCGCGCAGCAAAAGTGAAAAGGTAGTTTGACGCGGATTAGATCTGCGGTTGATGCGTGCGACCTGCCTCTACATTGGCCCATCTCACCTGTCAAGCACACCGGCTAACGTTTAGCTCCTGGCAAAGGCTGCGCCTACTCCAACGTTAGCATTCGGAGGTTAGCTCACGTAACGTTATCATCTCAGTTCAGCATGCACTTCAGGCTTTCAGTTTCCTTAGACCAAGTCATATGGAAGGTATGCAGTTGCTGAGGTTTGGGTTGGTAGGGAGGCCGACAGACCATACCAACCCTTATGGTGCTGTTATTTGCCGGAAATCTGCGAGTTCAACTCGTATATAGCCCGGAATCGCATTTCCATCTGCGATTTGGAGGGCCAAATCGCAAATGGATTTTTTTTCTAGGAATTGAGTTTGACGTCGTTGTGCAGGCGTTGTTGCACGCGCGCGGCACCAAGTGCACGTTTGTTGGCACCTAATCTCCGCACCCGCGTGCACCCGTGCATCGAGCGTTGTATTGTGTAGGTAGATTTCGCCATATGTACCGTGATGATACAGATCGGATCTTGAATACTTATACAGCATCCACCAATCGACAACCCCTACTACAACAGTCGCCCACGAGCGAGCCACAGGATTGTGTGTACATAGAACGCATTGGTAGAGGCACAAAGAGGACGCCCTTCTCTTCTGTCGCTGCTGCTGCATGCTCTCATCATTTTCAAGTCCACTTGCTTTTTGTTTCGTCTGCCTATGACGTGTATGTGCTGCTGCTGCTCAACAAAGAGTAGATGTGTATATGTTACGGTTACATGGTTACGGTTGATAGGAGTTGCACCTTTGGGAGAATGCGTTGTTCCCAACAGGTACTAGCAGTAAGGTCCGGTTTGCCGGGCCCCGTCTTGAGGCTAGGATTGCTCAGCCCCCCTGCTTCACTCTTCTCCTTGCTTGCCCTGAGTTAGCAATAATCAACAAGCGAATACCGTATCCACGACCGGAGACCTTCCACTCCTTGTCACAAGCCACCTTCGAGGCTCACTTCTACCGCTGTTCCGACTCATCTACCGAACTCGGTACCGATCGAGAGGCAGCTACCATCAGGTCGGTAGCAGTGCTTGTAGTCTGGGGTCCCATGCACAATCCGCTGTGGACAATTCCTCGTGACACCTAGGGTCCTGTCACTTGAATGATTAGAGACCACACAGACCCACACAGACATTGGGCCAGCCCCTACCCCTAGCCTCTCCATCCGTTTTATATATGTAGACTATGTCTCCCTCGCGATCCTACGGCAAAACCGCTGTTCATGTTTGTCGTGTGTGTGTAGTCGTTCGAAAGGAACCTACCGTCAGTTGGTCTGTCAAGCGTCCGTCTTTCGTGGTATGTCGAGTCAAAGCCAGTGTTTTGCCTTTTCCGACCATAAGGGTTGATCTAAAAATTCGCAGCTGCTCTCTGTTGGCTTGGGAATTTCCACCTGATTCCGTGGGTTCCAGACCAAATGCAGACCTTCCGTAAGAGTTGGCCTTAGGTGCACTTGGCCGTGTCTACAGACACGAGGTTTGTCCGTGAGGTAGGGCCCTGCCATTGGGAGTAAACACCTCCTTACCAACGGTTCAAGATCGGATGACCGCGTCCTCCACCGCTAGACTGCGGTTGTCCACATGCTTCATCGTATTCATCCCTCGCCGGGACAGCCACCGCTAGAAAATCTTGCCTCATCGTGCTTTCCCTGTTGACCGATCACTGTCCATTGGCCCCCGGTACCCCCTCCCCTACTTACTTATGTCAGGACCTCTACTTAGGCCACACTTTTCAACGTTAAAGCAGGCCCTGAGTACCGTAAAGGCGGAGATATGGCACCGGGTGCGATCGTTTTGTACACCATCTATAATTCCTCGGAGGGGGGTCGCACCCCGCTGGGATCTCTCCGACCGGTGCGATGTCCAGTGAAATGCATCCAGCAGTGGGCATACTGGTGCTCCATGATGTTGTTTGCACGCGCCCCGGTGCCATATCCCCGACGATCAGTATGGACCATATTCTTTAGTGTGCTTATAGGGCGCATTACACGTGGTACCATTGTTGCTGGCTGGGAGCACACCGGTAAA